GGTAGTAGATCATCAAGCCTTTCTTTTCAGGCACTTCCGGGTGACTCAAACCGCCAATCTTTCAGTTAATAGCTGAGCACATTAACCATGTTCACTACCCAGGGACTCCATGGAAAGAAAGATGTGACTGAAAATATGGAAGGAAGATAAACTTGATTTTTCTGTCAAAAGAAATTTAGGTGTGATGTAAGTGACAAAGAAGTGATTCTCAGTTTCAAAATATGACTCAGGAATTTCATCTTTCTAATCCACGTGTCTGAATGAAGCACTATATTATGACGACCTTGTTAACATACTCATGGCTTTGGAATCCCACACTTGTGGTTTTGGTTCCCAGTTCTGTGACCTATAGATACATGCCAGGGATAAGTTCACTCTTTGGAGCCTGAGCTTCCTCAATTGTAAAATGGAGAGAATGCAATTTTCCTCATTGGGCTACTGTGAGAATTAAACTAGATTGAGACAGCCTGAAAGAGCACAGAGCATAACAGTGCATTGTTAGTGCCCCCACATGCTCTTTTTTTTTTTTTTCCCCCCATTTGCCTCCTCAAACTCAGCCCTAATATCTTGTGCTATTAGTTGTCACCTTTTCTGACATTTGGGCTTCATAGGCTTGGATGAGGAGTCCTGGTCACTCAGTTGCTAATCAAACGTTGGTGGTTCGAACCCATTAGCTGCTCGGCAGGAGAAAGATACAGAAGTCTGCTTCCATAAAGATTTACAGCCTTGGAAACACTATGGAGGAGTTTTACTCTGTCCTATAGGGTTGTAGGAGCTCTGGTGGTATAGCACCTAAGGCAGTTGACTGCTAACCAGAAGGCTGGCCATTCAAACCCACCAGCCACTCTCAGAAGGAAGATAGGGCAACCTACTTCCATAGCAATACCGCCTTGGAAACTCAAGGAGGGGTCACTGTGAGTCAGATTCAACTTGGTGGCAGTGAATTTGTGTTTTGTTTTGTTTTTGTTTTTTCAGTATAGGGTTGCTATGAGTTGGAATTGACTCTATGGCAACAGGTTTGGTTTCATAGACAGGCTTGGATAATTCGAGGCACTATTGACAACATTCTCTCTCTCTCTTTTATCCATTTAAGTGAATGCCAAGGACTGGTGATCTTGCCCCAGGCCATCTCCATG